TTGTTTTACTCCCAGCTAAAATTATAGCTTTAGCCCAGTTATCATAGGGGCAAAGAGTTAGTATTATTACGGGTAAAGGGCCGGACACACTAGGCGATTTTTCAGGCGAGTGAGTCGCGCGACTGAGTCGCCGGCGAATGAGTCGCGCGACTGAGTCGCCGGCAAATGAGTCGGGCGACTGAGAGTGGACACACTAGGCGAATATCAGTGCGATTCATCGGCGATTTTTCTTCCACTGCAACACTAAAACACTCGCGCCACCTAGATTGATAGTCACATGGTTGAAAATGGCACCGTTTGATTGGCTGATGAATTGTACAATCGGGCGACTCATTCGCCGACCCGGGCACACTAGGCGATTGTAGTCGCGCGACTGAAATAATCGCCCGATTTTATCAAAACGTTTTGATCGATGCGATCGAATCGGGCGACTAAGTCGCCGCTGCAAATCGGCGGCGACTGACTGGACACGATTTCGCCCAGGATTGAGTCGCCCGACCGAGTCGCCGGTGAAAATCGCCTAGTGTGTCAGGCCCTTTAGGAGTTAATTATATTATCAGTAAGGAGTTAGTTATCTGATTAGTAAAGCGTTAGTTATATTATAGATATAGGATCAGAGGTTAATAATGACAAATTTGTTAGCTAATGCGATGTTAGCTAAATGATGGTCAAGGTGTTAATTTCATTTCAGACAAGTTATTAACTATATTATGGGCAAGATATTAGATATGAGTAAAGTGTCATTTATACTGTAATGTGTGTAAGGTCTGTGTGTAAGGCGGACGGACAGCATCAATATCAGTAGCAATGACACCTTATAAACGTGATTATCGGCAGTGCTTTATGCATGTGCAATATCGAGTTGTCATTATTGCTAGTTCGTATATGCATTATGCAGTGTGCGGTGGTATTTATCCACATGTAATATTCAGTATGCTGTGTTATCGGTTTTTATACAATATTCACCACGTCACGCGTCATCGTGTGTGCGTGCATGCGTGCATGCATGAATCAGAATGAGAGAGAGAGAGTGGGGCGAGAGCGAATGCAAGAAAGAGGAGAGAGAGAAGGGAGATAGAGAAAGATAGAGAGAGGGAGAGAGACAAAGAGAGAGAGAGAGAGAGAGAGAGAGAGAGAGAGTGGGGCGGAGGCGGGAGAAGAAGAGGCAAGCAGGGTCCGGATTGGCAATCAGCGGTCGGCGCGTGCATCAGCCGAGGTGTCGCTAAGCGAAGAGCATGGCTGCAGCGGCGGCCGATGAATGCAGCAACGTACACGCTACCGTTTATGTTTCTGGCTTTATTGCCGCCTCGGGACCTACGATAATAGACTCATCTGAATTATTTGCTCATCAACAGTTTCAGATAGTAGCATTATTAATGAACGCTTGATGTAAATGCAATAGTGGCACTATCATATGCAAGAGTGTGGCAGACTAACGCAAGCAAACCAACACTTGGAGAGCGGGATAGAGAGATAGAGAGAGGGCGCGAAAGAGATATGGTGATAGAGAGAAGGGGTAGAGAGAGAGAGAGAGAGAAGACAGACGGAGTGGAGAAGAAAGGGCGAGACAAAGAGACAGAGAAAGAGAGACCGACAGCCAGAAAGTGGAGAAGAGAGGGCTAGACAAAAAAAACACCAGAGAAAGAGAGTGAGAGGGTGAGAAGGGAGGATGGATTGATGGATGGATGGATGGATGGATGGATGGATGGATGGATGGATGGATGGATGGATGCCATCCATCCATCCATCCATCCATCCATCCATCAATGGATGGATGGAT